CTAGATGTACTGTTAAACATTTTAGCGAGGGAGCTGATAAACTCAGAAGAAATCAAGGTTTGGCCTTCTATCCTATTCTTTCTTTTTTTCAGAGATATGATCAAGTTTTAAGAAGAATTTTTTAGATTAGATCCCTTTGTATGAAGTGCATTTGTCGGTTAGCAGAGATAGGTCACTGCAACGAAACGACACGGGAGGCCGTGGAAAACAGTGATTTTGACGATGACTTGCGGGCAAAAACATTGGATACAATAGGAAAAAATATGGATAGTTATTGTTGAAGCAGAATAAACTTTGAGTTCCAACAGTTGAAAGTGTTATAGTACCAAGCAAAAGATAGTTCTGGTCCGGTGGCAGACACGAATTCCCATTACAACCTTATCACACAAAATTACACTATTGAAGCTATTCATTTGCAAAATCTGTCATATCGAAAATTGTGGAAATCATGTTTAACAAAATTTTCTAAAGAGCGTAGATACAAATTAAAACTGACTTCATGTACCTGTAATTGATACTCGCTTTACATCATTCTTAAATTCTGACAAATCTAACATTCAGCAACATGTCATTTGATGACGTTGAGTATTGTTTAATCACTCCATGAGCAGACATCGCGATATCAACGTTTTACTAATTCCCCTCACAATTTCTGCCATCTGCTAGGAGGCCATATCACATGAGTCGCTCGACTCTTCATCAAGCCACGGCTTACCTGAATTATGTTGGTTATATTCGCAAAACAATAACTTTGAAAATTGGAAAGATTACTATTTGATTTTTTTTATGTTCCAATCTTTTCTAAAAAGAAGGATTTGCTAAACTAATTTTTACGTGTAAAAAATTACATATTTTCGATTACGATAGGAATACAGCGCAAAATGAAGATGGCTAGGCCGTAAAGCATTTACCGTAGCTTTGGTACAAAACCTTACGGTCGTTATCACAAGTGGGCTCGTGTAATCAGACAGGTTTCCTGCGCCTATAGAACTGTGACTGGGCCTTGCCAATAGCGCTTTGTGTAAAGCCATCTACGATTTTGTATCGTAGTCCTCCATTAATGGAAAAAGATGAAGATGCTTTTTGAAAGTGAAACTTAGTTCAACATGCCCTTCTACTAGCATGCGTAAGAACCAAAAAATACTGAAGGAAAAGTATTAAAAATCCAACATTTTTTGGAAATCTTGGAACAAAATGAGCAGTTCAAATTCTCACATCAAAAAATCATACCGGTCCGTATATATTGCTGTCATTAGCATTCACAGGATTATCACTTTCCATCCAACAGCAGCCTTTAGGTATCAAAAGAAGTTCATTCCGATTTTTTGGCCTGAAATTGATTCTCTATGGGTAACATCATTAAAGCACAAAGGTTCACAGTGAAATTCCTCTAACCTTACGACATCGCCTTCCACAGCCGTTACACGTTTAATGTGTATTTTATCCGGATTCCTCGGCGACCTGTAAGTTTCATAAGCTAATGTGTCCTCTTATTTTTAAGAGAAGGGACGTGAATATGATATCATTTTATTACATTGTGTAAAATATCGTTACATTGGGCGAGTGTGCTCTAAGAAACTTCTTCACCTATGATTGACCCTACAACTCATCGCATACATTCCTCAAATGGGAAAAGAGGTGTTGTTCTAGGCCAAATAAATAAAGTATGTGTGAAACCATTTTCGATATGCAGACAAAACTATGTCATGAAGTCCCACAACCCTCGATTTTCGAAATTTCGAAGATTTCGAGTTTGGATCCCGGTTGTTGCTACGACAACAAGCGAAACTCACACAAACGTTACAACTTCTCCAACTTTTGGCCTTTTTACTCCCCATGGAGTGAGCCAGACCAGATCTCGATGCCACCACCGTGCATCCGATCCTTCCAACGTTGGGGCCATCGAAGCTCCAGTGACGACAGCAGGGTGACCAACAACATCGAAAACTGTGACTGCAACACAGGCACTTGTAGCTGCTCGTATAGTAAATCGCAGCATTTGTTTGGTGCAGCCTGAAAGATGTATGGCTTACATACGCATTTAAATATGACAACACCTCTCGGTTCTTGGATTTCTTTTTGGGGATTGGTCTAAAGATTAGCTGCGCTGAGGTAGTACCGACTGCAAAAGAAAAAAGAGAGTAGGTGTTTGCTATTTGAAAGGTTCTGTCGACAGAAGCAAACCTCAATTAACTGC